TAGCTACCTGCAATACAACTAAACAAGACAATATTCGAACTGTTACAACACCTTTAGTTAATAATCAAAATGAGGGAATTATTGTGATAGATGGCAGTGAATATATTGTTAAAGATAATCAACTTATTCCAAATAGTACAAATACTTGTAATGAAGAATACTTACTAGCAAATGTAATTGCTGAAGGTGATGAAAATTCAATACCAAGTACATCAATAGAATTTCCTAATATACATCACACTGATTCCAAACAATCTAAAATGACAAAGAAGACAACAAGTCTGAACCAACCTATACAAATAGTTGTTTCAAATGAAGAAGAATATAAAGCTTTGATGTCATCTAATCACTCGATCATATTTGAGGAAGGAGATGCTAATAAAACACTAGCAGTTTTAACTGGCCCCCAAGATACATCCCTCGAAGGTACTACTGTAAATCTTGAGAACACTCAATCTAATGAAATGATGATTATTCAAGAAGGTTATCCATTAAATGTTACTGAAGCTGTTACTGCAGATAATTCCAATATAGTTGTAGTTTACAGTCATCAAATGGATGAAGCAAATAAACAATATCAATATATAACATCACAAAATATTGATGCACAATTTATTCAATCTTCTGCAATGATAACTCATAATTATGACACTATAACTACTTCCACCCCTGTTATGAGCGCTCATGCTGTAGATACACAGGTAGAGCAATCTTGGCAAAATAATATAAACGAAAGTGTCGATAAAATTCAAATTGAATCACAACAGCAAACACAAACAGAACAGTCTATTCAACCAAAAACAATTGAAAACAATATAATTGAGCTTCAAGAATTATCATTATCAAAGACAGACATGCCAACCATAACCACTGATGTCAATACTGTTGAAATATCTGCTACTAATAGTACTACAAGTATAATAAGCACTAATGATATTATTGCGCAGAGTATCGATCAAGTAATAGTTCAAGAAGTTGATAATAATTCTTTAGTAAATACGAACATTTCAGTATCCAATGAGCAACTAGTACACAAAGAAATACAAACTGAAAACACACACGAGAACAATAGTAAAGAACTGGATGTTTTAAAATGTAAAACAGACGATGGACATAACAAACAACCGCGTATTGTTAATGAAGAACTTCATAATGAAAAGATCATTGTTATAGAACAGACTGGTGAAGAAAGTATATCAAGTAAAAATGAAAATTCTACAATTGGCAATTTAAAAACAATTGTGGAAAATGAACAAAAATCCACACGGGAAGATAATATTCCACCTATCAGCAACATTGAAGATCCAATACCAAATATGGCTAAGGAACAGATTCAAAATTTAGCAAGAGAATGGTCTGAAGAAGAAAGTGATAAAGAGACAACAAATCAATTAAATACAAAAACAGATGAAAATAGTGGTATACCTGAGTATACGCAAAATATTAAAACTCTAGATACTGTATCTTCTGTGTATGTTGAAGAATCGATTGAAAATATCCAACAAGAAATGGCAAAGCAAATGGAAGCCATTGTAACTAAATGCAGTACAGAAGTGCAAGTTTTAGAACCTCAAACTGTTATAAGTGCTTTACAACCTACGGTTGTGACCAAGGCATCTGAACAAGAAACTGAAATTATACAAACTAATATTGATAGCGCTGAAACTAATAGTGCCGAAACTAATATTTCAGTATCAATATCAACAACCACACAAACGGAAACAGATCTTATTAAAAATAATACTCAATCAATTAAAGTTATACCAGAAAATATAGAAAGCAATATTCAAACTGATCCTGAGAATACAATTATGGAATCTAATTCAGGTCCTGTAAATACCATTAATGAAACTGTAGTTGTTCATAATGACATCGTTGAAACAGAAATGATAGATACAACAACAGAAAGTAATAGTAATAGAGAAGTATTAACTCCTGAGACAGATGTCGAAGAGAATTTAAATTCGCCTCAAGGAGATACACCAAAACAAATGCAGCAAACTGTTATAACATTAAATAAAACAGCACATGACAAAATTTCGTCACTTTTGAATGACTGGGAAGATAATGATTCCCAAGAAGATAATGCCTCTAAAATTAGAAATGATCTTGGTAAGGAATCTAAGGAAAAAGATTTGAGTGATGATTGTAATGCAATAAACACAGAGGTAGTACCAGAGAAGATTAACGAACCAACCAATAACATTAAAAATTTAGTAAGTGACTGGGATGACGATGATGATGAAATAAAATGAAAAAGAATATGTACAGTAACATTCAATCATGTGTTGTATATAAACTCTGCAAAAATTTGCTTCCAATTTCATGTTTTGCCCTCTTTACAAATCTCCATTATAAGATAGAAAGAATGAGATTGGTATTTAAGTGTAACATCATACTTGCTATAATGCAAGTACATGTCTCCTTTTTAAAATTAATTTTTCTAAAGGGCACTCAAGCATTTGTTTACCTAATTTCAGTTTTTAATTTCTTAAAATATGTTTTCTCTGTCCAATTATCATGTGCATAAGTTCTTTTTTTTTGTTGCCTAAATATAAAAAATGAATGTTTGTTAATATTAAAAGATAAAAACCATCTCATTAATGTGTATAGTAGTAAAGTACTGAATTTTATGTAAATTAGTCTGTGGATAAAGTCAATGGATTTCATATGTGTAATGAAACCATGTTTGATAAGATAGTACAGGCCTTTTTTTAATTAGAATTGTATAACTTTTAAGATAATATTTTTATTACTTCAATATTTATGCCTAGATTTGTATCACGAAAATAATTTGAGTTTCATATTACATGAACTCATTATTTTAAGTTTAGAAATTATGTTATTCATACCTTTACACCTTACCACAATGTAAATACAAAAACTTCTTAAATCCCAATACCACTCAAAATTACATATATACATCAGAAAGGTAAACCTAAGAAACCTAAATACTTTTGTATAAATCCCAATAAGATATAAAAGATCCACATTTGCCTCGTATTTAAGCACTGCTTTTACTTTACAAAATGTAACTTGACGAATTAGGGGGGGGGGGGGGGGGGTTTCAAGCTATAACTGTTATAGTGTATCATGTTAAAATCTATGTATGTTAGAAATGCACTAAGGTACTACAGTACTAAAAACATCTTAAAATGCATTTAAATTTCAAAGCATTATTTGCCAATGAAGTAATGCAGTCTAATTACTTTATTAATACATTCTCTAATTCATATAATTTGTAATAACTATATTAATTAGTTCTAAACATTTTAATTAGTGTATGAAATCATTACACATAATAAAATATAATAAAACCTTTGTTTTTTTTTAAATGCAAATAGATGAATTACCGCTCAAATTAGTTATTTAACCAATACTTGCAATTACTACTTGAATCCTTCAGTGGACATTTTCTTGTCACTTACACCCATACCCAATGTAACACTGATGTAATACAGTGTCAGAAATAGACACATTCACAACAGAACTGGTTTGTGTAAAAATAAGCAAGATTTAAAAGTGCCTCCTGTTGTAAGCATTTGAAAGATATATAAATAGTATTATTAAAACACAAGGGCAATGACAAATAAGTCTGTAACCAGATTTTCAATGATAGTCTATTCACAATGTAGTTTTTTATAAATTTAACTACTTCATGAAAATAAAAATTTCCAAAACTTAAAGATTTCAACTAAAATCTAAAAGAAATTATATTCAAACCAATAAATATAAAATTAATACAGATAATTATTACCAACAAAAAGATAGTCCTTGGCTACAAACAATAAATTTATGGTCACAGGAATAAAACAAATTGTGTAATATAAAAATACTGTTTACTTTATTCAATATACTTTCAACAATGCATTTACAGTATAATTTTTCTATTGTTATTTTCATATATATTTGCAGAATAATATTGCTATAAATATTTTAGGTCAATTATCTAATCAGAAGAGACAGTCAATGTGAGAATGGTGAGTCGTAGGTTATTACACTACAATCCCTTAGGAGATTTAATAACAATGACAATCTCCTTTTTGATAGAATTCAATGACATTCTTTTAGTTTTATCTTATTTATTCTTTCTAGTTTTATTCCAAATTAAGAAATTTGGTTTGGATAATATAAAACAACTGATTGTAAAAATAAAGCCTAATAAGAAAGTTTAAAAATGTTAAGGAGAATTAAGAAGTCTTACCAATATTACTCTGTATTTGTTGTAGGCCCCTAACAAGAAATAATAAAAATACTGAAATGGCCTTTAATATTTTGGAGGATATTAATAAGGCCATTTCAGTAATATTCTAGTATAGATAAAGTAATTTATCACTTGAGTTTCATCAAATTCCTATACTATTAGGTATAGGTTTTTTCAATCACTCCCATTAGTAATTTACAGAAAAAAATTTTTATCGAAAGTTATGAACAAGATATGATATCACAATATCTTAAACTTTTCCATGAAGTTCCAAAATAGATTAAAGGAAAAATAGAGAAGCACAGGCCTAACTTATACAATATACCAGGTAACAAAAAAATAATTTCAATTAATGTGAATTTTTTTAAGAATAGAGGAAACTTTAATATAAAGTACTAAATTTGAAATTTATAAGATTACATACAGTAAGAGAAGATAGTCATACATTTTATGACATCGTTTTTATGTAAACAATAGGAAAAAAGAACAAGTGATAAGAAAAATGGAATCAATTTATTCAATAATATTTTTGGAATAAATGCAGCCGCTAATGTAACTATTGTTAGTTTTTCAATTAATTTTACTTTTCACAAATAAATATTAAAAAACGTATTATGTAACAAAATAGATTAAAATGAATATCTAATTACTCTAAAAATTGTTTGTAAACTCGGCTGCTTAAAATATGTGAACATTCTGAAATGGTCACTGAAATAATATATATTTACAAAATAAGTTACATTATTTACATTTTGTTATGTATTGCAAATAATTAGAGAAAATCAAGCCTCACTCCCTAATCAGAGATAGAAATTAAAACATATTTCACCATGTATGCAAGGAACACAAAACCAACCAACACAAACAAATTTGTTAAAATATAATACATGTTTGATTGCTGTTCTGTAGTCACTTCACTTTCACTGTCAGAGTTAGAATTACCAGCATGTAACATCGCTTCCTGTCTTTGTTTTAACTGTTGCTCAATTTCTTCTACATATTCAGGAAAGAGCTCACAGAACATTTTATTTTTAATATTAATTTCAAGGGATTCAGCTGCCAAACAGCGTTTCTGGTAATCAGAAGTCTCTATGGACCCCAAAGTTGGGGTTTTCTCCAACATAAAACTAAGCAGTCCAGTTAAAATGGTTGAGATGGACCATGCAGGATTCCAAGTATCAGGGTGAAAATCAGTAATGCTAAGGCATAATCTTGTATTGGTTTTAAATCTTCCATTTGGTGTAATCATATAAATAGAAGGCGGCTTAAACGGAAATTCCCTGGGGAAAATAATTTTACCATGATAGTAACCTCCTTCATAAGGACTTTTCTCTGGTCCTTTCACAACGTAATGCCATTCCAAAATATTCGAAGGCACAGGCTCTGCAGTAACATATGGTACAGGATCATTCTTGAGTCTAAGGTAATCTTGCTTAAGCCTACTAGTGGCACCCGTCACTTTAGTTTTTGCCATTATTTAGCGCATCAGTCTAGAATTTCAGTCAAATAATCAGATACCTTTTTTTATTAGAACTTTGGATACATTTTATCCTTTAGATTTCTTTAACAGTCACGTTTCCAATAGTTTATCGACTAAAACAAATAATCGCTAATAAATAAAATATTGGTGCAATACGTTATTAGTCATTCAGTACCAAATACCAATGTGACAAACTGACAAACAGGGCTGCCAACCAGGGTGACCATCTTTAAAATACATAGCTTGCTACATATTTATTCACTTTGGTTAAAAACCTGCCAAAGTCTGTAGTGAAAAATGCCTAAATACTGCCAACTTTATTTACCATTTTAATGTAATTAACTAAAAAAAGTAAAAACATACACATATAAATACCAGATAGAAGTTAGCGTAGAACATTCTTTTTTTTAACTAAACTGTATGCCAATTAATTGCTCCATAAATGCTCCAGCAGAATCCGAAATTGCTCCACCTCTATTATTATTAGTTAATTTATAATTAATTAAAAAAAATTAAGTATCAAAAATTTAATTTTGCTATAAAATATCTACTTTTTAAAATTAAACTGTACGCCAATTAATTGCTTAATAAATGTTCCAGCAGAATCCGAAATTACTCCACCTCTATTGTTATTAGGTAGTTAATTTATAATTAATATTTAAAAAATTTAAGTATCCAAAATTTAATTTTGCTATAAAATATCTACTTTTTTAAAATTAAACTGTATGTCAATTAAATGCTCCAGCAGAATACGAAATTGCTCCACCTCTATTGTTATTAGTTAATTTATAATTAATTTTTAAAAAATTTAAGTATCGAAAATTTAATTTTGCTACAAAATATAAAATATGTACTTTGTAAAATTAGATTGTATGTCAATTAATTGCTCCTTAAATGCTCCAGCAGAATCCGAAATTGCTTCACCTCTATTGTTATTAGTTAATTTATAATTAATGTTTAAAAAATTTAAGTAGCAAAAATTTTATTTTGCTATAAAACATAAAATATTTACTTTATAAAATTAAACTGTATGACAATTAATTGCTCCTTAAATGCTTCAGTAGAATCCGTAATTTTTCTGTCTATTGCTATCAGTTAATTTATAATTAATTTTGAGATAGAGTGATCCTATTTGAGTAATAGCGCCATCATCAATAGAATGTAGTAACATTCTATAGTTAAAGTCATTTTATCGAACAAAAATTGATTGACTCTCAAAATTAAATTTTCGATACTTAATTTTTTTTAAATGAATTATAAATTTACTAATTACAATAGAGGTGGAGCAATTTCGGATTCTGCTGGAGAATTTATGGATCAATTAATTGGCGTACAGTTTAATTTTAAAAAGTAGATATTTTATATATTATAGGAAAATTAAATTTTGGATACTTAAATTTTTAAAAAATTAATTATAAATTAACTAATAACAATAGAGGTGGAGCAATTTCGGTTTCTACTGGAGCATTTATGGAGCAATTAATTGGCATACAGGTTAGTTAAATAAAAGAATGTTCTACGCTAACTTCCATCTGGTCATATAAATGCTATATTTTTTTAAATTAAAATTAAACATACCTATCTTTCCTTGGTTTGAACGCAATGCAATCGCCATGCTCATCAATGCCTTGTTTAACGTACAAGATGATTATTTATAAATCTGTAAATGTTTGTTTATAAATCTGTTTCGTGTTTTTGTCTTAATTATATTCTTTCGCATGTTGAATCCACTCATATTTTTTTGATGTTTACATAGTCATATCTTTAGCTTTAGAGATCCATGATGAAAGTAAAAGATCTTGCACCCACTTCGCTCTATACGCCCTTTCATATTTTCGCTTCATCACCGCCACCTATAATTACTATAGTCAACAAAATTTTATTAATAAGATGTTATCACCATGAAATCTAATGCGATACCTAAAGTACGTCTCTTTTATGACTGATTGAAATATTAACCAACTCGTGTTCATTCGTTTTAAGATTACCAACTTTATACTCAAATTTTTTTAAAGTTGTTTAACGGGTCACGTACAAAATCATAGCTAAATGCTGTCCGCGTGAATATATACTTAGGTCGGCCACATACATACGGAATTCCGTTTCGTAATTCCGTTTCGATATTCCGATTCGGAATCCCAAACGCAGCAAGTTCATATAAAATCTAGCGGCCTTAGGCCGGCAACATACATTCGGAATTCTGTTCCGGGATTCCATTTCGATATTCCGATTCGGAATCCCAAACGCAGCAAGTCCATATAAAATCTATGACACGTCACACACGTACGGTAGTTTTCCCTTCGAAATTTTGCAGGCAAAACGGGATTCCGTATGTGTTTGGGCGACCCGTTCGGATTTCCGAAACGGAATACCGAACAAAGGAAATATATATATATATATTTAAAATATTTATAACAGAAGTAAATTTCAGTGCAATCAATAAATCAAAATATTTACAACGATGCAATATTAATGATTTTTCCATTTTGCTTATACATGAACTAATTTCCTTTAAATAAGTTGAGTTTGTTGTACAATGATCGTTTTGATTTATTTTTGATGATATAAACAGAGACAAAAGTAGCAATTACCATTATTTAAAGTTCTGGTAACAAATTACTAAAAATGATTATAACTACACGCATACTCAAAGAGATTAAATATATAGGTATACTATAGAGCGGGCATTGGGAACATTTATATACAAAAACTTTCAGCTAGTGCGCGTGTGGCACCCTCTAGCTAAAAATAGCAAAACAACGCTAAGCATTTATTAATACAACATTTTAGATATTCCCCAGTAGGTGACGCTAATAAATATAACGTCGTTTTGGGAATGTTACCGTTTCGATATCAAAGTATCGATAATGTTGTTGAGGATTACTAAGTTTGAAATGCTTTTCGATACAATAATAGAGAATATACATGATTGTTTTATTGTATAAATCTATTTATCATGACTTCCATCACACGAAAAAATCATATTAACTTTTACGCCCCTTTAGTGTCATGAAATAAAATATTTAATTTCCAATAACTAAGAATCAATTCAAACAGCAGTCACTTTGGTTGCCACCTTGGTGGCATCTTGGATGACGTCACTCGGTCCATTAGCTGCTATAATAATAGCATATGATTGATCGGTCACCGTTATAGACACGTCGAGAAACGCCAAATCCAATAAGAGAGCGCCTCTATGTTTTTAAATTCGTTTCTATTACAAAATACACTTCAAATCTAAAATATTTTAGGAAAACACTGCACTTAAAGCCGATTCACGATTTTTCACGTTTCATCAGCTGCAGTACTTAAAGACACTACCCACATTAATAAAAATTGTTACTCAGGCTTAACCTACAACTTCTTGCATCTAATATCTTTACGAGTACAAATTGTTTTTAATGTAAGAAATCTATTGCCCTCTCCTATCACTGTAAGCGAGGATCTATAATGGCTTTGTCCTTGAAAACCACCAGACAATGAAGCCCGGTGTAAAACCACCAGATAATAAAGCCTGGTATATAAAAGAGAAGACTTGCTGTATTGCTAAAAATCAACACAGCAAGTATCCTCAGCATGCTCATAAGCAACACAGAAAATCTCATCAGCATGCCTAAAAAAAATTTCCCACACTTACTCCTCATAAAGTAGGGTACTTAGCATAGTTGGTATATGCTACTCATTTTTGTTGGTATGGGTACAGTATCGTTGATTGTTTAACTCCTTAAATATTGTAAAGGATTAAATCGGCATGCTGTATATTTTTTTATCGATAATCCTAATCGATAAACGTCGTTAATCACTAACTTTAAAATTAGTAACTAAATAGTGACGTTTACTAGATAATAGAGGGCGCTTATTACAATAAAAATAAATGTTCTAGAACAATCTACTAAAAATAATAAAATTTAAAGATTATTCGGTAAATACATGTTATATTTACGATAATAAACCGAAATCACGTTCATTTTTTGCTCCATATCGTGACTTACAATATCTTAATGCACAAGCGGGCATATTTTCTTTAAAAATATTTTTTAAATATATGAAACGAATGCGTCTTGACTTTATGACGATGTCACTAAGATTATATGACAAAATCGGAGATATATCCTATAGGACATAAGTTACAGACGACAATTTTACTACTGATGTCCGGTCTATTACTACTACTACTTAAATGTCTTTGTGCATACTACTGGTCTGTTTTTTCTCGCGTGTATTGGCCAACGTGGGCAAAACATTTGTAGGAGTGCTTTAAAATCGGTAATTTTGTTTTAAATATTATATTATTTGTTAGTTTAGAGCTAAAAATATAACTTATTCTACATATACTTACCGAAAGTAAGACACTACGGCCGTTAAATTGCTTTTTCGGGCATTATTCTTGAAACTTTTAAATACACATTATGGCATTGTGAAACGTGTTTACATTGGCTGTGTTTCAAGTCAACTAAATGAAATAGAGCTCATTTTTACTGTGCGCTCTTATTTACTGGGACGTATATTTTGCGCCGACCCGACATCTAGTTGGTATTGTGATCGAAGATTGAATGTGATACAAACATAATACGAGAAATCGAGAAATACAGGGATATCCCCAACATGCTGGCGAAGTATCGATACTTGCACATTTGAAATGGTCGTGGTCATCTACTCATATTATCTTTTGTTCTCGTTGTTATGGATGTGGTTCCCAGATAGTCCGTCGAAATAGACCGTTACATTTTGTTTTAACACACAATGTAAAAAAAAATATTACGTTACGGTTTATTTTGGTGCCCCCATTGCAAATATTTTGCTATCTATAATCATTTTCCAGAAGACGAATGCGAATATTTGTAATTAGCCAGTTAATCATACCTAATTACCTATTTAAATTTGAATCATAAAATATATTGTAAGTATTTTGGAAACACGCTTCAACTTAATAGGTTATCCATCTATACATATAATAAATCTGTAGTAAAGTCGTTTCTGCAATTCTAATATTT